GGGTTGGTGCGATGTGCCTCCTTTCTGTAGGAAGGCCACTAGTACTAAGCCTAACAGAAAGGAACTTATTCCGAAGAGAATGAGAATTGGCTGCGTACCTCGGAATTCCTCCTCCCTATAGGCCGATGTCAGACTTTGCGAATCGCGCGATTCGCTAGCGTCCGCGGTCGCGTTGCGGTACCAGCCAATTGAGTGATTCACTGGCCGCGACGCGACCGCAGACGCTAGCGAATCGCGCGATTCGCAAAGTCTGACATCGGCCTAGTCCTAAGACTGAGCGTTTCTGTGAATCAGTGGTACGGGCCCCCAGCCCCCTTCCCCTCCAAAGCCATATTGCGGTTTATACTAGCGTACGTTCTGGAAGAGATCATCGAAATAAAAGCACTAATCACTTTCTGATCATAGAATTATGTGAAACTTCCAAAGTAACATGTCGCTTTTAGCAAATAGCAATCAATGGTTTCTGTTCCATGTTATTTCAACGGTTCTGTAGGGGCCTTAGACTCTCTTGGGACGCTAGGAGGCTATTTGTGAACAACCACTAACTTAAAATTGTACGGAATTTGACGTTTGCTCTGGTATGGTTGGAATTTACATTACATGCTAGAAATTGCATTCTATTATTGATAGCATTGCTTACGAGATGAACCATATTTGCTTATTTCGTGTTGAAGGTACTACGTGCTATAACCGTGCATATAAAAGTTTTTAAGAATACAATACTAACAGGACAAGAAAACAACTTACATGATGGGCTGCTAACTATTGGTTATGAACGGAGATCATTCTCTTATCGTATCTTCGAAGCAGCAAAAGTCATTACATCTTGACGCCTTTGCAGCTAGACTTGCGTACGTTTATATTTCGTTTTGTTTTCTGCTAATATTTTGGATAATCCACGTTGGAAATTTACAAAGGCCCAACATATCGCAGTTGGGTTGGGTTGAATACAAGTGAGGTGATCATTATATACGCGTTCCAATAGTTATTTTAAGAAAGGACAATCTCGCCAAGATTTCGGCGAATGGGTGCGTTGATACTAGTCGCGAAAACGGTGCAGTGAAAATGTTGGAGGCGAAAATAGAAACTCGAATGGTAAGCTTGATTTTTTGCATCATATTCACAAGCACCTCTTTCTTTCAAATCACCACCTCTTTTATTACTTTTCTCTAGAACATAAAATTTGAAATATTTCTTGTTCTCTTCAAATGAATCTTCTTTTATGATAGAATGAACTTTTTTAGTGTATCGAGTGTGGCAGTGGCTTCCTGGGTGGTGGTGCTGCTGAAGTGTGCGACACATGTTCGGGTGTAGGTGGAGCCATGCAAATGGGAGTTGGACTTGTATGTCCGCTATGTTCGGGCCTTGTGCTCAATCATAACGCGGCCCGAGTTTGTACGTCATGCAAGAAGTGAGTCAATTGACAGTGGACCATATTGAACCTTTTTTTAAGTGTTTTTATCGTGTAACGACCGGAATCTTTAACTTCTTCGATGGTCTCACTGTCTCTGCTTCGAGAGAGTGTTTGTGGTGGTCAAGAATATCGCTAGCCATTCTTCTTTAAGATCTGTATAGAGTCCGTGCATATCATGCGGCAGTAATCAATATTCTGGAGAACCCATGCACAGTGTGGGCACCGGCCCTCATAGTAAAACTGGAGCGATATGACCACATTTCCTCTTCCTTAGTTAAGGACTTGAAAGTACCGGCAGGCTGCAATATTTGTTCCCTGATCATGTCTTCGCAACTAAACAACACCCTGCCCTTGATCGTTTCAGTGGTCATACTTTCGTTTTTTTTTCATTGCAGATGATTTCTTATTAAGGTTCGTTCATCGTGAGTGCGATAGATCTGACGTTAATATGTCTGAATTTGTGTGTGCGTCTTGCCGAAGATCGCCACTTGTTGGTGATATCATGCTGTCTGCTGCAATCGGGCCCGCCTCTCCTCTGGGAGCTGAGTCTGGTTCGTTGTTTTGAGCACGTTATAAAACCGTGAAATTTTCATGTCTATAGCTTCATTTGGCAGATTCCATCACGGTCCCGTCATCAACATCCGCCTCTGACTTGACGTTGAATCCGTTCCGTTCAAGTTCACCGGTCACTGCTAGTACTGTTGTACCGGATTTTAATGTGGACGTGTACAACATGTCGGAGGGAATTTCTTCTCCGGCCACCACAAGTGATTCTGCGCGAAATTCCCCATTCTACCCTGAGAATTCTCCATCAGACGTAGATGAGGATTTTGTTCCTGGGAGGTATATTATCAGTAGTTATAATCTTATCACATCCTTGTCTAATACGATTTCTATCTAGCTCCCGAGGTGGTTATACATCTCGAGGTCGCGGTGGCGCGAAGAAGAAACCTGGTCGTGGTAGTTCCTCTAAAACGAGAGGAGCAAAGCCACCGGGTGACTCTTCGATTTTTCCTCCATCTACGCGAGGGAAACGTGGTAAACGTGGATCGAAAGTGAACGGAATTGGAAAAGCTCCCGGAACAGGACGTGGTCGAGGACGAGGGCGGTATGATATTCAAATGTGTTTGAAAGTTTATTTAAGCATCACTTGGAAGAAAACTTTGGTTTCACTTTAGAATAATTTGGATAGAAATTCCATCGGTTTAAGCATGATTGTCATTCAGTATTAAGTTTCACTCTCCAACGATGCATACAAACTTATTGGCATTAGGTCGTTCTGCAAGTTGTCGCACTTTACAGTTGCTTTTCAGTGGATCAAGCTCACAAATACAACAAAGTGCTGTCCTACAACAAATTATAATGCAGCAGCAGCAACAACACCAACAGATGCAGCTGCATCAGCATCAGCATCAGCAACAGCCGCAAATAAGAGAGGTGTGTTTCACTTCAAGCATAACTTAGGCTGCACAGAAGTGCGACATGCTTGCCATTCAATAAATTTAATAGGTGGATGAGACAATGTTGGAAGAAGATGAAGAACGAAACGCACGTGCTGACGATGTGGAGTATGTTCGAACGGCTATCATATGTGACTCACAAGACCAGTACCTACAGCAGGTAGATCATGCCCAGCTTTTTTTTCAAGTTGTGGTTCCATTTGGTTTACTTTATTATCGCTTGACAATATTTTTTTCAATCAGCTGAGCCTTGTTTTCATTTATTGTCTTTAATTTGATCTCACTGATGCTCTCAAGCTTCCCTATTTTAGTCGAGCATATGTCTCATATGCGGTGCCATTGGAAAACCTCACACGCAAGAAAATTCTATGGTTGCATGTTGCAATTGCGCGCAGACCTTTCACACGTACTGTGTCGGCTTACACGACAAGGCAAGTTTTTTTTTAGCTAGGTGGTTATTGTGCAGATTCAGTTATATTTATAAACGGCACTAGGGATTCCCATTGTGCTGAACTCATTTTGCTTTAGTTGAATCAAGCTGTGGTCAATCGAGGTTGGCGATGTCTTGATTGTACGATATGCGAAGGCTGCGGAGAGGGTAAAGATGAGTCGAAATTGCTTCTTTGCGAAGAATGTGACGTTTCCTTCCATATTTACTGTCTATCCCCGCCTCTCGATCGCATTCCAAATGGTCCTTGGAGGTGTCAGTGGTAGGTTTAGAGTAATTTTGTAGTTTCGTTATGCGAACCTGCTTTTTCTTAATCATCTTTGTGTTTTCTACACTAGGTTGTATTGCGAGACGCATATTTCATAACAGACCGCTATAACTTATTTATCGGTTTTAGGTGCGCACGATGTCGTCGTTGTAACATAAGAGTCACTTCTGGTACGGATTTAACTCGGGAAGGGCTCTGCACTACGTGTGGATCTCTAAAGAAGTGTCCGAAGTGTTCTAAACACTACAATATTGGTGAGAAGATCATCAAATGTAGTGCGTGTGCACGGTAAGTGGAAAGATCCCAATACTTTGGTCTATAAAGACATGACCGTGAGCATGAGTTTCTAGATGGTATCACGGAACATGTGAGGACCTCTACAACGACGAGATGTTGGAGTCCGCATCGGCTAACAAAATGCGTTGCTCGGCATGTCGACCGAACAGTAGGACAACATCTGCTCTGATGGGAATAAGTCAGTTCATTTTTCTTCTGTTTGTTTGTTTTTTGGTTGCCTTCTCATGCGGCATAATTTGGGTTTTTAATTTTTTTGCGCTATATTGATCATGCCTTAGTTTTCTTTTATTGTGAACAAGCTTGTCCACTCATGAAATTGATTTCCAGGTGACCATTCAAGCCTGCTGATATGTGATAATGTTGCTTTGAACAAATCCGCTGAGGAGGTGCTACAGTCGCGTTTTATGCCGAGCCTTTTTCGACCAAATCCAATCGATTCGTTTGGCTACCGATCAGAGAGTTTTGATCATTGTACGTCGTTTATGCGAAGTGATTTTTGCGCTATTTTTCATACATTTTGTGTTCTTTCTTTCATTATATCCTATGAAACTTTCCCTCAGGGTTTATTTGCTCCCAATTATTTCTTTTTAGACGGCATGGAAGATGACTACCTACAGGACGAGTTAGAAATGCTTTCGACCAGCACTCGTGGTCGTGGCATGGGCCGAGGTGGAGGACCTGGACGGCGGGTTCCGAAACTAGGTAATTTTTCAGGTGATAATGTAAGGTCAGCATCTAATGCTGCTCTCAATTTTCTTCAGGAGTTGGCGGGTTTTTCGTCAAGATCCCACGTCATCGATTATTAACCATGGAAGACGATCTACCTGATGAAGATGGTAATAAAAAACAAAAAAGACCACGAAAACCTCGCCGAAGCCAGCTTGAAGACGCGTATCCTCCAGCGATTCAGGTGCGTTTCGTGTATACCAAAAATTCATTGGAAAAAAATTCGCCATCTTTCAGGAGGGATTCTTCGGAATGCGACCTGTTGAAGGTAAAGCACTAATTGATGCCGTAGTAGAAGAGCCATCATTGGCTGAATATGGTAAAGGAAGAACCGCAACCGCTACTGAAGCTGTAGGACGGGGGCACGAACTCTCTCATGAAGCCACTGAGCAACTGAAGAATGATTTGACAGAGGTACATGTCCGCTCCACTTTTTTGAAGAAGAGTTTTTTTAATACAGTATCTCATTTAAGGTCGACATTCTCGAGAATCTGGACATTGGGGAAGTCGATCTTGATAATATGGATATGGATTTCACCAATTGGATGGAAGATGATGAAGATGACGACTTCGATGACAGCTTGAATGGTTCTTCGTTTTTTTATGCATTTTCTTTGCACAAATTCACATCATTTTTTAAGATGCGTTCGACATTGTGAAAGCTGACGGCTTTGAACCGACGACTAGTAGTGATGTTGCCTCCACTCCTACACCATCTGTACCAACCGGTCCTACAAGTAAATTTTCAGTCTCATATAAAATACACCACAAAAACTAGATATTAGCATAAGAGAAGGGTTAGGGTACCTCGCACGTTTCAATATTTACGCATGTCCAGCTTTTTGATCTAAAACTAGCTTATTCAATCAAAATATTTTTGCGTAATTTTTATATGGATGTTTAGCCTTTCCAAACGACGTGGCTAATCTTACTATACCACCGGCTACACCAGCGTATTTGTTGCCGAACAACGTCAAATCGCTGTCGCGGAGCAGTAGTCAGATGGATGGAGTGGAAAAGAATAACCCGACTACAGAAAGGTAGAAGTTCACTTCAGAGATATTTTTCTTTCAAAGTTTCTGTGGTTATCCGTTGCCGTTTATGTTTCATAGTGATCCTACTCAAGAGTCAGCAGTTGAATTCGTATCATTCTGCTCGAATTCATGGAGCATTCTTGCTACCAATATTTCCTTTTTGAGAATTTTTCTTGTTTCTTCGATAGTCATTTTTGAGCTTTTTTATAATATGTGTGCCACATTTGCTCTCATGTGCATTTTCGTATTTATTTGAAGGTGGGAGGAAGATGAGCCTCTTGGTAGTCAAGCAACAAAAGCTGCTGTCCTATATGCTAACGAGAAGCACGCCTACCTTAAAGTGAGTTCCCTTCCTTGTGATGGACTCTTGCATTGTTTACTCTTTCGCATTCCATAATGTATGATTTAGGAGAAGTATCCAGACTGGAATGATCGCGTGAAGCACATTCAACGTTTGTGGCGAGTATTGGACACAGAAAATCGTCAAGACTTCGTGAGTCGTGCGAGAGAGAATCGCGCGAATCGAGGGAAACAACCCAGAGTGAAACGCGTTGTGGTGAGTTCCTTAATTTCTCCTCCATTCATTTCAATTTTTTTTTTGGAAAAAAATCACTCTACAGCTCACTGAGGTACAAATCAATATACTTCTACATATAGTTGCAAAATATTCAGTGACAGTGATTTTGATCGTGGCTATTTTAAGTATAAGCATGCTGCTGCTGCCGTGGACGAGCGATTCAAAGTTCCTAGTGTACCTGGAGGTTCGCAAATGCGTCCCGATTTCTACAATCCTGAAATGGGAGGTCAAATACCACAAGAAGTCCCTGTACAGCAAATCCGATCGACGGCCCATCTGACTCAGCCTGTGAGTGTTAGAACTTATATGTCTTTTGTTATTTTTTTAAAGATAATTTTGAACACGCAAGGCAGCTTATAGCTTAGAAAATTCATAAAAAAAAACTCTGGAAGTGTTTCAACTCGTCTCTGTTGAAGCACCTTTTGACTATTCGTTGCTTGTTTTTTCGCAAAATGACATATTTTCTGTGCCTGCTTGGCCTGCTTACGTTTTATGAGGTTTGTTTCATTTCGCATTGCAGGTACTTGAACAGTACGAATTGATGCGGACAAGAACGCTCGATTTGCAAAAGCATCAGCAGGTATCGTTTTTGCTCCATTTTTCTTTCGCTCAGCGATTATCTTACTGTTCTGTAGGTTATCGAGTCGGATCTGAATAGGATGCGAAAGCAGAAGAAAAATCTTGCTGCGAAAAGGCGACAGATGATGAAAAGTGCTGGAACGGATGCAGATGGAAAGCAAATACCTGTAAGGCGTTGCTTTTTATCTTTTCTAAGTTTCGAGCTAAGCGTTTATGCTAATGTTGGTTCTCTCTTGCAGAGTTGTGTTTTATTTGTGTCCTTTGAGACGGTTTCATGTTTGCATTTTTTCAGGTGGATTTAAACGAACAAGATCGAATGGCACTGCAAATTCTTTTGGAGCAAATTCCTTCTCGACAAAAAGTTAGTTTTGAACCTAAAAATCAATTAGAGGCGAAGTCAATTTTTCTGTACCTATATGAACTTCTACTGCTATTAGTTTTCTTTCGCCTTTTCTACAATTCAGTTTAGGATTTGGAATCCTGTAAACGCGATCTGAAGACGCATTTGGCTACTGTCTACGAATTCGAACACAAGTGGAACATTGTGCGCAATGTTGAACCTGGAGATGCGATGAGAATGGCTATGGCTCAGCGTGCTGCTGCCGGAAATGCTCCCCAACCTGTAGCGGCAGGAAGCGCACCACTGCCTGGGACGCCGCTTTCCTCGCCAACACCGATACCTGGGGCTTCAACGCAGTTTCATCCGCAAATGGCTGGTTCATCGCCTCAGTTCCAACAAATGCGAGTACCTCAGCAGGTTCCATACGGTGCTGTATGTGGTCCACCCCCACAGGACATGATGCAGCGTCCTCCGATGCAAGTGCGTGATGAAATGGCTCTTCATTTCAAATGGTCCATGGTTCAGCATTCGTGATTAGTCTTTATATTGACTTTTTAGGTTCCTAGACCACATATGTGGACTCGCGTACCAGCACCTGTTCTTGGTGGCATCCTTTATGAGCGGTTGCAGACTCCATTCGAAAAAGAAGTACCTTATAATTGTTATTCTCTTTGTTGCGATTCGTCTTTTTCCTAGCTTAAATCTTCGTACTTTTCAGGTCTATGAATGTTTGGATGACGTTATCAGTCGAGTGTCTATGCATTTCGACGGACGCGACCCAGCTCGAGAAGGTTCTGGCATGCTGAAGAGATTGCTTGAGCCTGCGATGGGGCAACAAATGCCTTCTATGGGTGGTGGTCCTCAGGGTGCACCAAGTCACTTAATGGACCAACTGGAACCTCCAAGGCCGAAGAAGAAGCGAGCGCAGCAGAAGAAGGTAAGTCTTCCATTTGTTAACTGAACTATCTGTAATGTCTGTTACAATACACAATACGACTGTTTTCAGTTTGAGTCGGTCGGAATGGGAAATGAGTACGATTTGATGGTGGAGCGTGTGAACACTCAGCTGCGACTTTGCGAGCAATTGCCAAAGCGAGCCATGGAACCCGCGCCACGAAATCCTGGTGCTGTTTTTGCCACAATGGGTATCAGCGATTTGCCTGACAGAAGGGGTGGGTTGTTGTGCTAATATTTGATTTCTGTTACGTGTTACTTTATAAATACATGCATCTAATTTTCATCCTTTTTTTCTTTCCCAAGTTAGTTTTTTTTGCCGACATGGCACGTGAACTCCATCATCGAAAGCGTAGGGTAAGGGAGGATTAGGGACTCAAGAGAAATCAGTTGAATTGTTCTTTACAATTATTGTACATCTGTATCGTTCACAATTTGGAATTTGTTTTCTCTCTCACACATAATTTCATTGCTTACGCGAGAAGACTCTGACAGTCCTTGCAGTTTATTCCTCTAGAGCGCTAGCGAAACAATAGCTTGGCTCTAACAATGCCAAATTTGCCTTTCATATCTCATTGTAAACGCTCGAGAATGTAAAACTTCACATTCAAGCTGTTGCTATCTGCCGACTGCGAGCGCTCTTCAGTTTCCCTGTGAAAGCCTGTACCTACAAATTAGTGCCCACTATCATGTGAAAAAATAGAAGGCGTTAAGCGTGAACACTTTTCCTTCCATTTTTTACCTTTTTCTTCGTGTGAGTCTTCATGGATCGAGTGCCTAATCACAAGTTTTACTTTAAGGTAGATTCCACAGGTGGCAAACGTTTGCCGGTGTAACGTTTTATAAATTCACAAGAAATCTGTGAAACTCTTCCCTTTTGTTTGAGTGAACATGATTAAGTGTATTTATTTCAGATAAACGAGCGCTGGTGGGAAAAGAATTTGGCAATCTATCTTTGTCATTTGTTGATGACTACTACACCGGTAAAGGTCGTGACACGGAATGCCTAGAAATGCTAAGCCTTTCGATGTCCGATCTCGCCCCACAAGCTAACCTTCCAGCTCTCACAAAGTACGACATAGTTCTCTGTCACTTCTGTTGGGTTTGATAATAGATGCTTATGTTCCTTATTTCAGTTTACCACCACCACCAATTTACGAGATGGTAGTGGACTCTGAAGATGCAGCATTTGGTTCATTTGACCAATGGACGGTGTTTGCTAATTCTCTTGATCGCCAGTCGTGTGCGAGTCATATGCGCGTTGCAAGCAAAATCCCGGAGTTTACAATTCCACTCGAACCACGCAGGAAGGTCTTCAGCATGGTCAGTGTCTTGATACATACCTTTTGTTTGCTGCTGAAATGAGCCAATTGTGGCCTTTTGTTTCACGGAAAATTCAGGAAATCTCCATTTCGTTGTTTTTAATGAATTAATGACTTCTCTCCCAAGAATCTGAGTTATGAACAAAACTCCCCCAACTCCCCCCCCCCGGTCGAATCCGCATCTCTCGCTTGCGCTCTAAGCTGCCCAGTGTGCAGTGCGTCTTGTTTCTTTTGTTAATTGCTGTTTTGACGCCGCAGTTCGCGTTGCGAATGTTTCACAATACTGGGTTTGTGTCCCGCCTAAGGCGAAAGTTTCGTTTATAACCCAAAATTCTTGTGAGCCATATCGAGTGTATTTTTGTGTTTTCGTGCTATGAAACGTTTCTCGTTGACTTTACAGAAGTGTCTGGTGCAGTTTTGAAACAGAAAGTCATTGCATACATTTCAGAAACCAGAGACTGTTGAAGAGGTAGAAGTGTCGCTGGTTGTGAAAGAGGAAACATCGCTCCCACCAGGCACAGGTGTAGCTGCATTATTCGAACAGCTGAGATCAATTCTCGGTGTTGAACAACCGATTGAGTATCAGTTGGATACACCACCTCTCTCACCAGAGCCGTCCACAAAATGTGAGTATTCGGACCGTTGTGCATGGACTGGGTTGCGGAAAAATTTTATCAATATTTGCGTAAGAATAGGTACGGATGTAGGAGTTTAGAAGGAGATAGTGAGCTTTATGAGGTTCAGGAGGAAGAAAAAAGATTTCACTGTTGCGTATTTCTTTTTTTTAACGATGCCTTCAAGCTTTTTAGAAAAGACTGGTCGACATGGAAGGGAGTCCTTCCACGAAGATTAGATTTTTGAACCATTCCCCGTAGTTGAGTGACACTTCCTCTTGGCTTTCCTCCTAAAATTTAGCTCTCTCGAACAAGAAGGAATGAGACTGATCCTTGAGACTTTCGATAGTTCTCAAATCGACTTTGTCTCTGTTACAAATTCAATCCGTTTTAGCCGAATGTGTAGACAACGTCAAGCGCGAACCTCCGGATGCTACACAAAATTCTACCACTGGTGGAAGATGCCGCGCCTGTGATCGTAGCATGGAAGCTGTGCTTATACAACAAACAATGAGCCAGCTAGGGTTGACACCGAGCGATGACGAGGTTTGGGCGGTGTTTGAAGTTTTACTCTTTGCTTATAACCTTTTTTTATGTGAAAATTTGCATTGTGGTTTTCTCAAGTAAGACGGAACCGTTGGGTCTGTTCAGTGAAGTGCTAACTACCAGTCGTTCTGCCAAGCAATTGCTTATCAGATCCACTGCTTTTGTCTATTTCGAGATGGTTTGCTCACTATCTATGCTCTTGAAGCTCTTGGTCTCATATTTATTGATGAACTTTCGGTGGTTAGTGATCGATGTTTGGATTTGGACTACCTGGGTGACTCGAGAACAAAATTGGGAATCCAAGGGGTTTATTTTCATTCGTGAGCAGCGATCCGATAGGTCCCTTGATTCTTCTCATTTTCTGGTACGTATCGGTGTTTCGTTTTTTTTTTGGTTCGTTGTTGTTACCCTGCAATTATTGCAATTTAAGGCAGGTATTATGATGGCATTATTGCCGAAAGTTCACCAATAAGTTATAGACCGCCTCCTTAGAGCATATTGATTAAACGCAATATTAAATGAAGCTCGGATATAGCAGCATTTTTACCTATTCCAAGACCAATCAGCGTAATCCTTTGAGTGACAAAATTCAGTAGAAGCCGGGCATATTTCCATGACCTGGTAGGTGTGTATAATGAGAAAAAATATTCAGGTGGCGTTGTCACCCGACCAGCTTACAGCTGCCGAGTCCCACGTTGATGAAGAAACGCTCGCAAAGCTGCGGCAAATAAGTGCTGAAAGTTTGGTCAAGTGCAGTACACAGGCAAAGGTGCTTACGGCATTTCTGTTATTTGTTATCTGCTATTATGCTGCGTCAGAAACAAAATTTAGTCATAACTGTTGAAAATTTCATATATTTTTTCAGTCTACACCCGAATATCATTTTAGATGCGCGATTGGATCTCCGCCTGCTGGTGTCCGGCGCGGTGCCTCCCGATGCGTTCTTGACATCTCCTCGTGATACCCGATATGTCATGGATGAGGGTCGACGAGACAACGTCCAGGTTTGACATAGCCTTTTTCTTTCCAGTATTCATGAACCATGTAGCTGTTTAGTTTCAGATCATACGAGTTGACCTAATGCTTCCAGCTGACCCCGAGCAACAATCCAATGATGCAACTCAACCGGAAAGATACTACTAGATCTCCGGGAGATGATTGGAAGGCGTATAGTCGCGAGCTGCTGCACTCTTTCTTCAAAATTCAGCAAACCAAACAGGTGAGAAGTTTGATAAAAGTTGTAAGAGAGTTTATACCATAAGGAGCCAATCGCGTTAGATAAGCACTGAAGTTGAAATTTTGTTGCCTTTGTATGAACGGTATAGCCAATATTGGTCTTGGATATCTAATCTAACTATCCTTATTGTGCTCACTGCTTCCTAACAAAATATGAAGATTAGCGTTTTGAGAAACCTTCCATTAGCTCGCTATTATTTTTCAGGAGCTGGCTCTGTCGCCAAAGATGGGTGTTGGTTTGGGAACATCTTTCGAACTCGATCGACGTGTATGCGTACTCTGTGGTGGCATTGGTGATGGTGATCCAGCGCTTTGCGGGCGACTACTCAATCTGAGCGCTAACCTTTGGGTACATGTGTGAATTGTGCCATGTGGAGCACAGAGGTAAATACAACGTTCTTGATTGCTATCACTACGGTTGTCAGCCCTGGGTGTTCATTCAACTTGGAAACTAACGTGCTTGTCTTCCGGTTTGCTTGATCCGTGTGTGTGCTTAGTTACAGCCAAGTATTTAACTATCGTTATATAAGTTGTTTTTCAGAGTGTTTTTGAAACGACATTGGGAGCGTTACTTCATGCTGGCATTCGAGCAATGGTTCGTGCCGCTGGTTATTATTTGTCATCTGTGCGGGAGAGTTGGCGCTAGCGTACAGTGCCATAAAGTGGATTGCAACGTTAACTTCCATCTTCCATGTGCTGCGAAAATTCAGACAGCGAAATTCGTCAAGGACAAGGTTCGTCTTCAAAATTATTAGCAAGTTGTAAAAGTAGTGAAGAACTTGAGCCACTCCTAATAGGTATCTGGAGATTTTAGTGTTTGATGAAAGAAACAAGCATGTTTTTGCTTTTAGTTTTTTGTTTAGTGTAACATAATCTATAATTTGAGTCGTGATCAGGGTCCAGTGTGAATGTTAAAATAATTACATACTTTTTTAAGATTTTCCAGCCACGGTGAAGATAATTCAGGAACACTTTAGGCTAACGTTTTGGCTTGGTCATTTTCATCTAACCATAGATCGAGGCATCCTGCCGACCTACCGCAGAACATTTTTCAAATTCGAAACAGGCAGCCCATGAGCAAGAAACAAGTCAGAGGGAGTCGTATACAACGCGGATGGTGGCGGAGATCTCGATTTCGAAGTTATTTTCATAGGAAAGAAGGGAATAAATTACTTAATCACTACGAGGGTTAACTAAAGTTTTTCCACGTGTTTGAGTAATTGTAGTCTTGAAATGCTTTACGCTCAGTACATTTTTAAGGAACAGAAATAATTTGCAGCTCATAAAAGAAAACGGAGTGTGCGTCTACGCTGGACCCTGGTCACAATGATGTTGCACTTTTCCCTTTCCGCTATTCTGGTTAACAGTGTTTCCAGACCTTCTTCTGCACGAAACATCCAGAAATCAGTCCTGATGTCATGGTTACTTCATTGGAGGCGCTCCGACGAATATATATTGAAAGGGATGAGAACGCCTTCTTGTCACGACTCTTCGATTATTCTGACTCATGCGCGCGGCTCTGTCTACGAATTGGTGCCTTATGTTTCTTCCAAGTTGGACAGCTTCTCCCAGAACAGCTGAAGACATTCCACAACGCCACGCACATATTCCCAGTAAGTTTGTAAATAGAGGTAGTTGTGTTTTTGTAATTCATGTATTTCTTGCAGAATGGATACCATGTGTCTCGATGGTTTTGGTCGCCCACTGATGCGAGAAAGCGAGAGATCTACAATTGTCACATCAAAGATGTTGATCATCGTCCAAAATTTGTCGTTTCTCACGAGGGTCACACGTACGAAGGAGATTCTGCTACTGGTATGTTGGCTTTAGGTTTTTTTTTGCACCACCACTAATAAAATGCCCGACGCTTTTCAGAAGCTTGGTCACAAGTGATTAACGCAGTCGAGCGGTTACGGTCGCAAACCGATGCTTTACGATTTTTGGCGAAGGGAATCACAGGAGAAACATTGTTCGGTTTGAACGAGTCGGTGATCAGCAAAATCACGGAATCGGTATGTTGTAGAATCTGAATAATTTTTTATGAAGGGCTGACCATTCGTGTGACTGTTTTCTTTGCACGATTGTTATTATACATACTAAGAGCCCCTCTGTTTGTTTATTTTTTGTCAGTTTCTCAGTGGGCCCATTTCTTTCAGGTCAAGTGTCGCGTAAAATTTCTGATTACGCCCCTTGCCCAAATCTCTCGATCCCATATCGCCGATTAATGCAGTGCCACCCCTTTCATTCTACCAAATACGGCCTCTTCCCTTCCGAAACCACATTTTCGACCCCTCTCATCGCGTATCCTGCGAAACACATATGTTCTGGCTTTTTACCTTTTGTTAGTGAAGAAGGGAAGTGGTATGTGATAAATTTGACTTTTCCAGTTGCCTGGTGTTGACGGATTATTCACGTATACGTTCCGCCATCCAAACAGTCCACTTCTGGATTTACCACTTGCTGTGAATCCTTCGGGTTGCGCTCGCTGTGAGCCAAGATTTCGCACTCTCATCAAGCATAAACAACGTGCACTTGCCAGTGCGCCTTCAACAAGGTGAATCTTTGATCGATTAATATTATCTCTATTTTACGTCTTTTAGACCTCCAATCGTTTGCGTCATTTTCAGTTCTTTTGATAAGCTCTTTTCAATTTTCAGTCGCTCTACGCAAGACGCCTGTTCAAGCAGTAGTGGGAGGACACGAGGGCGCATCGCGACTTCGTTTACTGATGAGCTAGCAGCCGCTCAAATGCGGGCCATGTTGCAAGCTTCCGGTATTGGATCTGAGTGGGCCTTAGTAAGTTCAACAACTCTACATGTTGGATTATTGAAAAAAATGGAGCGTTTCTGAGAAAAATGCGTGCTGATCTTGTTTAGCTCGGTCATTCACGCAAATTTTGTATTTACAGGCGTTAGGTGGTCGGGAACCGTTCACCAGCAACTCTCAAAGCTACACTCTTTATCAAAAAATGCGAAAGGATTGGCGTCAAACCGTGTATTTGGCTCGGTCGAAAATTCAAGGGCTTGGACTTTACGCGAAGCGCGACATTCATATGGGCGATATGATCATCGAGTATAAGGTGTTGTCACCCGTTAATCATTTCTGTTCACCGATTTTTTTTATTTTTAAGCGATTTGTGCAGCGTTATTATCTTCTACTACGTCTACGTACCATTTAAGTTTTCAGAAAAAAATCTCATATTTAGGGAGAAGTGATAAGGAGTGAAGTGGGAGAGATGCGTGAAAAGCGATACGTAGCGCAAAATCGTGGCGTGTACATGTTTCGTATCGATGAGGACTTGCTTGTCGATGCGACAATGGCCGGTGGTCCAGCACGGTTCGATATGTTATCATATTACTTCCTCATTACCCATATTACCTCCTCTCTTGCTAACATATTTTGTTAATATGTGATATTTTAACTTTCTCCGCTTTATTTTATTTTTGCTGTTGAAGTAGTACACTTCGTATATAGGTATATCAATCACTCTTGCGATCCCAATTGTTCGACCCGAATACTTGCTGCAGGGCCGTACCCAGAGGACAAGAAGATTATTATTACTGCAAATCGCCCGATAAAGGCGCTGGAAGAGGTGAGATTTCAAAACTTCTTGGTCTTCCGTTTAATGTTTTTTTTTGTTGGTTGTGAGGTGCTTATCTTGTTTTGATTTTTCGTAAATTTAATTTGTTTCATCTTTCAGCTAACATACGATTACCAATTCGAGTTGGAAGATACTACAGACAAGATTCCCTGTTTATGTGGAGCGCCAAATTGTGTGAAATGGATGAATTAGCAACGCATTAGTCATGCCACCGGTGCATACGGCTTCCTTTGACCTTATGTGAGCTGGCTTTTATGTTTCCTTCAGTTAATCGTCTGTTGTCCTATCTTATTTGTAGTGAGAGATGTATTTCGTGCTGTCTTAAGTGTTGAGTGAGGAGACGGACGCCGCTGAACGGTGACCGCTCCGTAGTTTATAGGATAGGAGATTCCCTTTATAAATAAGTTGACGCGAGCGTTTAAGGAATCGCGTAGTGTTATACACTGTTTGATCTTCCGCGTGTGTTCGTTTTACTTTGTTATTCAAATACTTTACTATTTTGTACATAGATGGCATATTTCGGCTTTTCCTTATTTGATATAGTTAGGGGGACAACAAGTCTCCCCGTCATCTACCTCATTTTACGCGATTTTAGGTCACAATTTAGGGCTTAGAGTTGCAGTTAAGTTGACGATTATGACATGATCACTACCCTATACTATGCTATTCCCATAAAATTACTATTACTATTCATCAAACCACCCACCAATCACGCATCACCTCCCCTTTTTCACCATCACACAAATTTTGTCATTCTCAGTCGTTGTGTTCTCTTGTCCATAGTCGTTGTTGGTCTCGTACACCTTTGTCAATTTATAATTTTAATATTGATACTTTTCTCGTGGTTTTATTCTTCATGATAACAATTGTTGTGTGATTCTTTCTTATTTGCAAATTTTTACTTTGTTTGTATTTTATGCACATTTGTCTTCTTAACCTGTAATTCTCTGGTACTAACATCTACTACTCATCTACCGAATACCATTTGCGCAATTTCAGACTTCGTACTACTTTGTTTTTGTGTATACGTGATGATCCGCTCGCGCGACTTTGATAACTATTATGATCATGATAGAAAATTTGTATATTATTTATAACGTCTCTCGAAACTCGTGATTTGCTTCCGTTTTTCATATGTTTAAGCGGTGCGTCACACCGGCGAACCAGTCACCGCTAGCTATCTTGACGGTTCTGTTTCATGGAGTTTACGGTGCTTTCCGGTGTGACAGTCCGAATTTACGATGAGGGGAGTGCCTGCCCGTTTGTGAAAACGCATTGAGTGTGTGTAACAATTGCATATGTTGTACCTTTGAAATCCTATTAAGTATTGAATAGATTTATCTACTGTGTTGTGTGTACAGGTGGAATGTTCTAGAAGCTCAGCTTGACTTGTAGCACTGCCACATGAGATCCCTCACATAAGGGCAGTGATTATGATTAATTTGATGGTGATCAAACATGAATGCAGAGATGTCAAATGGTGGGGCAAAGAAGGAGAAACCTGAATGAGTCGTCATAAAGCCGGGGCTTTCTCTACATAGCTCTTTGGTTACCATTTGTGGTGGTGATTTCTATTACGATTAGGTGGGCAAGAAGTCATGGAAGTACAGTATATTTTGAAGCCGAAATGGTTTTGACTTCGAGTCCAATGAGCTGTAGAGTCTTGCTAAAAAGGATTCAATACTCCTGTTTTGTTGACCTACTTGTCCCGTCAATCGCCGACATTCCATTCTGCCGATAAAATTTGCGCTTTTCAACTGTGGTCTATCACCACACACACCACGTGACGTGTATTGACTACAGAAAAGGTTTCATATAGTGGGTTATCGCCATAATCATAACGTGACGGTAGATTTCCGCCTCCCACCCTTTCCCTTCCCTCTCTCCACTGCCCTCCAGCTGCCACTGCAGCACCATGTGGAATGACGGAAGTGTGCAAGCAGGTGTTTATATAGCCGTAGGAGTGTTATCACAATTATCCTGCTACAAAACATTGATAGCTCAAGTCCTGCGAGCTACCCGATTTGTTAGCGGTTGTTTATCCCTCCATGAGCTTCCTTATCACTCACTTCATTTGCGGACGGACAGACATACATACATACAAACCGACACACCAAGTAAGCGCTTTGTAAAATACAGGGTGGCTACTAAATATTGGCGCATGGTTTATTGACCATATTTTTGCAAAGAGAAACTATTACATATTCAGAAGTTTATTTTTATATACAGTAAAACATATCAATGCATCACTGAAGAAGGTGCTCGAAATGGCCTCCCTCGGCAGTGATACAGGCTTCAAGTCTCTTCTCAACTGACATCACCGTGGGCCGCAAGTAAGTGACGTCAACGTGACGCGAGAAGATCATCACACTGGAATTGGCGCACAATTCTCAAAAGGACAGGCAATTGTTGGATCCGGCTAGCAGGCATTCTGCTCGACGTCGTGCGCACACAAGGAGCCGATTTCCAAAATCTGTCATGATTTAGGCAGGAATTACTTCCGACACCGAGACACCGCTTGTCTTTGTGGACAAATCCGTCAAAATTAACGCCCAGATCTACCAGGAAACAATTTTACGTGATGTGCTCGTTCCATGGACTGTTTCGACCTCCAGCAAATGTCAGTGCCTTCTTCAGCAAGACTAGGCTCCTCCCCATGCCGCAAAATCTACGCTGGTGTTCTGTGACCGCCATTTTCCAGGTTACTGGTCACCAGATGTTAGCTATCTAACTCCCGATTGTAGCCAATGGATTTTGCGGTGTGGGGCTTCCTGCAGCGGAAGATGCCTTCTAAGCAACATCGAAGTTTAGACTTCCTGAAAGCTTC